CACTCAAAACGCGAATGGGGAGAACAAAAAAACTCAGTCAATAAAAATCAAGTCATGACGCATTAGTACCCTCCATATATTTATTTCGGGTGCCATTGTAGAAAGGGTTGGTTTTTCGGAGACGGGAAACGAGAAAAATCAGCTATGTTTCCTGCAGGATTTGAAACATAGATCTTCTGTTTACTAGATGAGCGTGTTAACCACTTGCAACAAGAAATAATTCACCAAGGAATAATTTCATTCCTTCTTCTCCATTTAGCCCATTTAAAAAAAAAAAAAGACTGCTCTACATTAAGATTGTTTATCGGTAATGACAGGTTACAAAGGGTGACTACGTGTTACTGCGAGAAACATTTTTTTTTTCTTATCGTAGAAGTTCAGCAATACTTCGTGTAACTCAGAATTCACTTTTATGGCTTTCAGAATTCACTTTTATGGCACTTTGGAACAGATATACTCTGCAGTGTATTTTTGCAAAAATTCTAAAGAAATATAGCATAAAATTTTAAAAAATTAAGTAATATAAAATTTTCAGAAAGTAAAAAGTAGTAAGAAAAAATCTGAAATTTTCCATTCCTACCAAAATTTTACCCAACTTAGCATTTAGAAATTTTATTTAGCATTCCTACCAAAGCTTGATTAATATTAATGAAAAACTTTTTCTTATTCTAGAAGTCCAGCACACTTCGTGTAATTCAGAATTTACTCTTCTGGCTTGAACTTTGGAACAGATATACTCTGCAGTGTATTTCTGCAAAAATTCTAATAAAAAATAGTATAGAATTAAAAAAATTACAAAATAATAAAAAAATTACCAGAAAATATATTTTGCCTGAAAAAGAAGGTAATCCAGTTATTCAGATTATACAGGTCCCAAGTTAGTTAAGTAATTCGGAGTTTTACCACAATTTTATGTTTCCTGTCAGTATTTTTCAATTTTATATCATTTAAATATTTTAATTTGAAGCAATTATTTATTATAAGTTAAATGTGTTTTAAATATTATTATTATTGTATTCTTAATCCATTATCGAAGCAGAAATGTAGAATCTTAATTTTATTTTTCTGCGTTTTTGCTTTCCTTCCCCCCTCTTCGATTGATTTTCTTTAGTTATTTATGAATAAATGTTAAATTATATAGATTATTAACTTATCTTTGTTTTAACTTCTGTAATATCATTTTCAATAGTTAAAAAAATCTGAAAGGTTTCAGATTTTAAATTACGTCCAAAGGGGCGTTTTTCTTCGTTTTGTGATTTTGCGTTGGTTCCCTATAAATGCCCGTTTCACTTTTCAAACAGTTGCCACCAAATGTTAGAGTCCTGCATTATATTTGAAGAAATTAAATAATGAAGAATCTGAATAAATATATATACAGTCAAAAATCTTTAATCCGGACGTCCATAATCCGGAATAATCTATAATCCGGGCCTCAAAGCTACAAACTTTCTGCGCATAATACGTTTACGCATGCGCGTTTAATGTATAACAGACGGTATAAGCTAGGCTAAAATTATATAATTATCTTTTTCAGTTAATATTGCAGATTGCGTTGTTCCTTAATCTTCTAATTGGATTCGGCTTATTATTTTTTGCAAATTGTTAGAGCAATTTTATAAAAAGTAAGCTTGAACTTTCGATTATGTCAAAAGGAGTTCCCGGTTCTGGAGCTGCCAAAGCATCTACAAAGCGAAAGCATGTTTCGATGTACCGCTTCCGATAGTGAAGAAAGTGACAGAGAGGTTATTGAAAACGAAAAAATTTCGATTGACAAATTTGTCCGTATTCTCGACACAGCAATTATAGAACTTGAACAGCGGAACTTTGTAACTGAACAAGAAATTATGTCTGTTTATAGAATTAAAGAGAAAGTATTAGCACATAAAACGAAGCAACTTAAACAACTTATATTGAAAGAAATGTTTAATAAAGTAAACAATTAAATATTAAGCTTTTTTTTGTTAATTTTGATACCCTTTAGATCATAATTGCTCTTTATTTCATAAATTACGGTTTCATATTTTTAATTTTATAATTTCTGTATGCCATCTTACCAGATTTAAACTGATGATCTATAATCTGGAAAAACCGATAATTCGGAATCGCCGAAGTCCCGACGAGTCCGGATTAAAGACTTTTGACTGTATATATTTCTCGCACTGTGATAAAAAAACGGTACTTAGAGCCATCCAATTTTGAATGACGTAATCCTACTGCGAATATGGGCATCTGGTAGCCCAAACTTGAAATTTGAAATTTGTTTTATTACGATTTCATATTTTGTAACACTTTAACGAATTTTTAATTAAAAAAACTCAACGATTTCAAAGCGAGCAATGGAAACACTTTGGTATCAACACAATGGCATCAACTGTATGAAAAACAATTATCACAAGCGTGCGAGACTGTGTATCGGAAATTCTAAGGATATGCTCAATGTAAAATTATTTTGCGATATTGCTCTTGAACTGAATTTTATGGTTTAAGTGTGAAGAACATGATATTTAATAAATAAATGTAACACACAAAATGTTAAAAAGACGTCGCTTTGGATGTAATTTAAAATCTGAAACCTTTCAGATTTTCTCTTTTATTATTATTTTTATTATATAGACTAGCGGAAGTACCCGATGCCAGTTAAGTTAGATTGAAAGTAATGCATCTAATAACAAAGAGAACGATACCGCTGTAATCCTTCTCTAATAACGATGCAAAAAAGTACAATTCATAGTCATACATTTTTCAGTCTGATGCGATATGGAACCCACATAAAAAATTTCGATTGAAAAATAAGCTAACCAGCAACAATGGCACGCAGTTTTTAATGATTTTCGTCTTTCTAATCAAATGGTCGTAAAAGCTCAAGTTCTATCCAATATTTCCCCTATATTCAATTTTAGTCGATTAAATGTGGCAAAAAAATTTATCATAATTGATCACAAATCAATAACGCGAACAAACACACAAATACACAATTCTTCTTTATCTGTACAGATTTTGTAAAATTTACAAATTTTTGATTAACATACTCTACGATTTGAAAGTGAGCAGTAGCAACACTTTTCGAAATAAAGCATTTCTACCTCCAACGCGCGAGACTGTTGCCACTCGGAAAAAAAAGTAAAAAAAATTAGCGCTTTCAGAGTTTTTTTTTTTTTTTTTTTTTTTTTTTTTTTTTTTTTTTAACCTTTATCTATTAAATATCATATTCTTTGCACTTAAACCATAAAATTCAGTTTAACAGCAATGTTGCAAAATAAATTTTAAATGAGCATATCTTTAGAATTTCCGATACACAGCTCCGCGGGCTGGACATAAAAAGTTTTTTTTTTTCCCCCCCGTAGAGTGTTGCCATTGCTCGCTTTTAAATCGTTGAGTTTGTTAATCAAAAATTCATTAAAGTTTTACAAAATATGAAATCGATAATAAAACAAATTCCAAATTTCAAATTTGGGTTTCAAATGCCCATATTTGCACTATGATTACGTTATTCAAACCTGGATGGGTCTATGTACCGTTGTTTTATCACAAATTCAGTTCAACAGCAATATTACAAAATAATTTTAAAATGAGCACATCTTTAGAATTCCCGATACAGAGCCTCACGCCGCTGGTGATAAAAATTTTTTTTTTTTTTTTTTTTTTTTTTTTCCTCGCATAGTGTTTGCCATTGCTAGCTTTGAAATCGTTGAGTTTGTTTATAAATAATTCGTTGAAGTGTTACAAAATAGGAAATCGATATAAAAGAAATTTAAAATTCAAATTGGGGCTTCCACATGCCCATATTCTATGTAAGATTACGTTATGATGGCTCTAGGTACTGTTGTTTTATCACAGTGTTAGAAACATATATACATTCATGCAGATTCTTCTTTATTTAGTTTCTTTAAATATAATACAGGACGATAATATTTGGTGGGAACAATTTGAAAAGGGAAACAAAGCTTACTGTGAATCGGCGAAAAATGCCAAAACGAAATCAATAGTCCTTCTGGGCAAATTGCCCTATGGAATAATAAATTAGTCAATAAAACGGTTTTACATCTGTTTTCTATGTAAGTTTCTCACTTTTTGTAATGTACTGATGTCTTAATTTTGGAGAATATGTGCTATTTTTATTTGCTTCCTACTGTATTATGTATAGTTTTTACCACTAATTATTCAGAAATATATATATTTTTTTTTCTGAATTATCAAAGCAACAAAAATATTTTCTGCTTCTTCCTCCTCCCCCCTTTTTTTAACATAAGCTTATTTTTTAATACTAAGTCTGAAGCAGTTCCAAAGACAAAATTATTTATAGTAGAGAAATAGATTTTAGTTTTAAAATAGCTTTCAATTTAATTTCTAAGTTTTTTATTTGTGATATTTATTTTTTTTCATAATATTTTTTTTTATATTTTCAGTTTTATTTAAAATATATAAATGAAAGAATAATTTTCCTAAATAGGTAATAATTATAATAAGAAAAAGTTTTTTTGGTCGAGAGTAGGGAATCCTTAATTGATAAATTCGTAACAAAATTATCCTTAATATTATGTTAAAGAAGTATTAAAAAATATATTTTTTAATTTAATTGCTTAATTCTTATTCTGTCTTTTCTGTTCTCGTTTTGTAAACGAAATCAAAACATAGTTAATTTTATCTTCATAAATTAATCAATTAATCTTCCTGCTCTGTGCAAGTAATGAGTAAATTCGTTTAGGTAGGCGTGTTCGCTCGAAGTTGTTGCTCATTGAGATGTTGTTTCTCATATTTCGAGATTAACGTTATAATTTTTTTTTTCTCTTCCTCGAGTATACAGCAAGCAACTTCAAATCTATTCAATAAATTATAATCCCTTAATATTTCTTGAAACAAAAAACCGTGCAACCGGAACAAACGGGAAAAAACAACAGACGAAATTCACTTGGCCTGCTAATTCATTGGTCGCTGTGCCCGATGACGTCACCGCTCCGACCTGTGGCAGACGATCCGAAGTTTTAGCGATCATTCAGTGTTGCCTGCGGTTGCGGGTTGCGAGCATTATCGTAGCGGGTTCCAGGTAAAAAAAAAATGGAGGTACTCTCAGTGAGATTTACACATCGTAGATTATAACGGTGGATATACTTTTTCTAAGCACTCTTGCCTTGTCAAATGTGAATCGATTTCGGAAGCTATGTGCAAATTTTTCATTCAGTATTCTTTGGATAATACTATATTTAAGTGGCACTGTGAAATATAAGCACCATGGTACAGTGAACACGTGGATATTGTTATATTAAATTTTTTTTAGTGTTAGCTTTTTATATTTATTTAAATAAATTTACCTTTCGGGATAACAGACAATAATCATGCGGTGTGATTGTGTCGACAGATTTGTGTCAACTCTTTTCAGACGGATTGGACGCGAAATTGCCAAAAATCCTGGATATTTTGTCATCATCCCAATACTTGTGGCAGCTTTGTTTGGCTCTGGTTTGCAACGAATTCGGTACGAGGATGATCCAGAGTACCTATTCACACCCACAAATGGACGTTCTAAGACGGAACGAAATATTGTGGAAACTCTTTTCCCTATGAATTCTTCGAAGAACTTCGACCTGGGACGTATAACACGGCCGGGACACTTTGGCCGTGTCATTGTCGTACCGCGAGACGGAGAATCGGTACTTAGGGGTGAGATATTTGACGAAATTGACGAACTCAACATGATTGTTCAGAATCTTACAATCTACTACGAAGAAAGAGTGTGGAGGTATGAAGACATATGCGCCAGGAAACTAGGTGGAAATTGCTTCCGGAATGATGTCTTGGATTTCAAGCGGATGATTAGGGAGATGGAATACAATCCCAACGTCACAATGAAATATCCCTTGATGCAAACTCCAAATCGCGTGTACTTTTTGGGTGGAGCCTTAGGGGGTGTAATCACTGATGAAAATGGAAACATCATTAACTGCAGTGCCGCGAATCTCATGTACTATCTAGACTGGAGTACACCCAGGGCTGAAAACATGGCCAGGCTGTGGGAGGCAACGTTTTTAGAAACAGTGGAATCGCTGAATGAACAGTTCGAAAGCATATCTTTGGCCATGTTTGTGTCCAACACCTTGACGAAGGAATTACAAAAAAATACTCAAAGCGTGGTGCCCTTCCTCAGCTTAACCCTTGTCATCATGTTAGTCTTTTCCATCGTCACCTGTATGATGGCGGATTGGGTGACAAGCAAACCTTGGTTAGGTGTCATTGGATGTATCTCTTCCATTATGGGAGTAGCTGCAGCTTTTGGACTCATTATGTACTTTAATTTGGAATTCATTGGAATTAACCTTGCCGCTCCTTTTTTGATGCTTGGTAAGTCTTGTTATTATATTTTAGCAATATTTCAAAGGTATTTCTTTCGCGCACTTTAAGAAAATATATTTTATATGTGACATGGATATTCTGATTATTCCATCTAACAGCTGAGCCAATTTGGATTTTTTTTTTAAATATTCTATGGGCGTTTTTCCCTTCCTGATATTCCATGTTTTTGCGTTCCATAAATAAATTTCTAATATCTGAAATTAGGTTCTAAAATTGTCAACATCAGTAGCAACCTTTTGAAAACTTTCTTATACTTTATATGAATACTCTTTATATGAATTATAAATATTTAAAATTGTTTTATATGTCTGAGGCTTCTGTTTGTGACAAAAATGATTTTCCATAATGCAAACGTAAATCCATCAGTGAGCACAAGTACCATCAAATAATGACCTCAAAATGAAATGAGCACTAGTCATTGCTTTTAAACCTACAATGTATTAAGATCAGTTGGTTCTTTAGAAAGTACATATTTGCCTCTAAAGTAAGGAGCAAATAGTTGGATTAAAAAATTAGTTTCAGTTTTCGGATTCACTTATTCTCTGGGCCTCGGAGAGTGTACTGATTAACGGCAGCTGACAGCCCACGTTAGTGATTCTGGGTTCGAATCCAAGACAAGGCATGGGTATTTAAAATCCATCCCCAAATTACAAAATACTTCCGAAGTTTTTTAAACATCTCAAAGGAAACATTTTCGAAATATTTGTGGTTTTTTTTACTTTGCACATTTCGTGTCTTGACAAAATTGCCATTTGAAGAACACATTTAATCCAAGACTCGTGCACAAACAATGAACTGAAATAAATGCACAGCCCGGTCTTGAACATTTAAGTAAGTGCACGAGTCTCCACCTGGCGTTAATTCACAATGAAATAATATCATAACAAATTTTGTGTTTACTATTTGGCGTTGTCATTTTTAAACAGATAATTTTAAAGATAAAATTTTAATTCTGTAACTTTAATTTCCAGGAACACGTTCTTAAACCAGTAAGCCTATCGTAACTGCCTACTTCAAATTATTTCAGATGTTAAATTGAAGTTGACTTGCTAAGATCAAAATGCAATTTCTTTTTTATTTTGCAATTTTATTTTATTTTTAAATTAAGGAAAAATTTTTTTTTTGAAAATTGATTGGTAAATTCTTCAATTTGTTAGATTACAATTTGAAATTTCCAGAATACCTTTTTTTTATTACTAAGCCTTTATTTTGAATTGTTACCTTTTTAATTCAACTGATTGGAGGTCAATTTCAAATAAAAAATATTACGTTTAAATTTTTGTTATTTTTATGGCATTTTATTCAGATTTCACGATATTTCAGGCAGCATTTGAATAGTGTTAGCGTTCTTTCTTTGATCATAAATTTTTGTTACGTTATCTAATTTTAAAAAAAATACTTGGGCGATAAAATAGTTGATGTTTACGGAAACTAATGTGAAATATATATGTTATATCCATTAAATTTTCGCTAAATCTATAAGCTTGAAATTTTAATGGAAATAAATATTTTAGCTCATTATGGTATGGCTCGCCTATATGGCTTTCCCGTCTTCATATCTCTTCAATGATGCAAAAATGTCTGCATAAAAAACAGATGATACAATGTAAACTTAAACTAGAACAAAACGTTTCGTTGATTTTTCTAATTTGTGTGACTGAATTGAACTTGAGTAGCAATACTGACATTTTAGATTTTTATTAGTTAATTTTATTGCTGTTTAACTATAAACTAACGGCACAATTAAATCTGAACACACAACTGCTTCTTTTATCGCAGTTTTATTTAGTCGTAATTATGCGAAATTATTATCTATACGAACAGGCGAAAATTATGCAAAGAGTATTAACAGCATCAGTTTTTAACTATACACTATAATGGCACATAAAATTTATTTCAAACCAGATCCTTTTTGATTCAATTAAATAAATTCTTGAGTTCATTCATTTCCATAATGTAAAGGGAAACCTAATTTTAAAACTAAGCTAAGAAGATTATCCAAGATATCAAAAGTTTAAAAAAAAAAAAAATTACTTGCTAATTTTAACTGTTAAGATTTCTGCAAATAAGAATATTTTTGCGTAATATGATATACATAAATACATGTACATATATATATATATATATTAAGTTGACAAAAACTGACGATAGTAGGATGTGCTGAGCCGGCGCCAGAGCCGTTGCAACCTAGTAGAATTTAGGGGTGTCAAAACTTTTAGAATTTAGTAAGAAACCGGGTGGGCAAAGTTTAGAAGTTGCAGGTTTGCAGCGAGCGGCAAAATGTCTAGCGAAGATCCTAAAGATGTGCGTTTGTTCATTACAAGAAACTCAGCCAACCATGTAGAAATCTACATATTTGTTTTACTGCATAGAGAAACGTTACGTTTCTATGTCAACTATGTATGAGATTTATTAGATTGAAATTGAGTGTTTTTATTTATAAGAAACAGGAAGATTCGCGATTCAATTACGCAATGTTCAGTTGAGTTCGCACTTTATAGTTATGTGAAGAAATTTAACTGGTAACTGTTTAAAAATATTACCCAAATATTATTCCTTAGCACATCATTATATAGTTTTGAAGATACTTGAAAGGGGAACATGTCAATCTTAAATCTTCGAATTGAAGCATAACTCAACATTACAATGAAATTATTTTTAATAAAAATTGCATCTCTCAAGAGATGAACATGGAATCCTTCTTCAAATGGCAAAAACATTCTGATACAAATTTAGATTAACTTTGCGATGAATTTTTACATCGCCCTCCCACACACATATTGCGTGCTTTGTACTGTAAGTAGTTAGCATGTACATTTGGCATTGGAAAATTAATGGTTCCAATTCCGTTGAGACCCCACTTGATTTCCTTACTCTCCATGCTCCTACAAACCTAAAAATCCTTGCAACTTTAGGAAGATAACTTAAGTCGTCAGTTTCGGAATACTGGTTACCTAATTCTAAAAGTTGAATATCAGGCGATTTTAATGTTTATTCATCTTGAATTACGGTACCAAAGCACACTGTAAATGAAATCTGAGAGAAATAGCCTGAATTTGTTCTTACAATCGGTGGAATTAGCAAGTTTAAAGAAATAAGAGAATGAAAATAAAAATTAACAGGAATATAACTAATAATTAATCATCTTTAAGGACAGATTATGGGCCTTTTAATATAAGAATTACACGGTTCTTCAGTGCATGTATTTTCATTCACAACAACGACTTGACCATCAGTTATAGAAATTAATCAGCTGTAGAAGTAAACAATATGATTGCTCTCCTTGAAGAAGAGGAATTCATAATATTTTTTTAAAGAGTTCATAACTTTGTCGGATAGTCTGGGATGTCTGAAGATGTTATAAAGCAGGATTTTAAAATTCTGACAAAGTCCCATAATCTGTCTATGGGGCCTAATAAAGATGTCTTGAGTACTGAGATGGACATTAAACATACAGAAGGATCTGTTTGAGATGTTAAAGGGATATTGTGAGATGCACCGGAAGATGAGAAATAATTCTAAAGTAAGGTTGAATTTTGCTTTGTTTTAAGTACTAAGCGTTTAAAACTGACTCTGAGGGAAGAAGAAGTAAGAATTATTTCAAAGAAAATAAAAATAAAGTAAGCATAAAAGTGTTGAATTCTTTTCAGAGGCGCATTTGCAATAGTAAAGAATGAGTCGCAGTTTATTCCCGCTGTTTTTGATTGCATGAAAATTGCTAAGACAAAAGAATAAAATATGTCGATTTTTAAAATTTTTCTATGAACATAAATATTTGCAAACACTTTCGTGCTTTCATGTTTTCATAAACGCCTGCTATTTTTGATACGTTTCCGTAAAGTCAGTGTTTTTCTCTTATTGCAGAAAACATTAATTCCTGCTGAAAAGTCCTTGATATCGTATAACGTTTCAAGGTCTGCCTCCATGTCTAGTCATTCACCTCTTTTAAAGCTATTTTGAGGGATCTGGTTAATTTTTTCTCACGTAATGACCGTAAATGGCATACTCAATATTGGTATTATAAATATTTCACGAAACGATATTGCTTCGTAATTGATTTTCAATAGAAAATATGTTTTTACCTATAAATTCATAAAAAGTGCTATCCTTTTTGCCAAAGAATTAGTTAATTTAATTGTCAATACGATAAAGCATAGATCAACATTCAACCTAGATCGAAAGTGGTTGTGTCTTAATGATATACAGTTGGATTTCTATCTATCTTCCCTGCAACGATCATTCTTCATTTATCATTCGTCATTTTTAATCCCTATTATATATTTTAAGCCCTATATAGTGCTCTATAAATAACATTGTTTGTTTAAACATCCAACTTTTATTGAAGTACCGTTTACTATTAGTCATTGGTTAATCACGTTCCCGGTTCGTCTTCCACTGTACGGATTATTAAAAAAATCTGATGTGTACACCACATGACTTCCTTGTACGGAATATTAAATTATACGCATTTTTTTCTTGAATTTCATTTAAATTGATTGGATTGAATTAAATCTACTTCGTCGACAGCGCATAAACCTCAATAGAATAAATGCACTCTTTAAAATTCACTATATTTGTTTACTATAACGACACTCTGAATGCACAAACTTTATATCATTTGAAGAATTATCTTATCGTGCCACATGTTCTATTCAAATAGTATAATAAAGCTAGAACGATGTCTGAAAGAAATTAAGTAAACAAAACAGAAAAGAAACAGTTTTTCACAGACGATTGAATATTTCTCATTCAATTAATTCAGTTCTCACTTCGCGACAAGGCAAAAAATGCATAAAAACTCAAAATATCTGTATTAAAAATTACGAAGTAAATCTTAAACACTTATTTCCTCGAAAAAATTCCAGAAAGGATTAAGCATGATTTAATTCGCAATAATAAATGAAGGCGTTATTTTTGTTGTTGCGAAGTTAAGTCTCTCTAGATTGACAACAAATCTACAATTCTGCTGTTTCAAATGTAAACAAATA